GTGCGCACCCGCCGGGATTCGAACCCAGGACCTTCCAGTTACAAGGCGAGCTCGTATACCATTAGGCCACTGGGACCCGATCCAATGGTCCTTGAATTCTAACTTCTGCCAATTCACGACATAGCGCGACCGCTAGCCAATGTCTTCGGCGAGTATTTGTCCTCACACCCGACCAGCTGCACCCTACTGTTCACTATTACTTGTTTTCATTTCCTTATCAATAGAAAGCAATATTTTAGCAACGGAGGTAAAGCTAAAGTAATCATGTTACATCAGTGTTACCTCTATGTGTATGCAACTACAGTCAACTAATACTCCACAAAAATACCCGTATTATTATACATGAATTTATGCTTCATTTGTATTTCATTTGAACAGAAATAAAATTATCCTACTGTTTAGTGAAACAGTAGTTTATGACTACTTAACTAATGAATTATGAATAAATTCGCTTTACGTCGTAGTCTATCTACCTCATTTCTTACTGACTAAACGATTTCGAAGAATTAGATGTGAATTTTAACTCTAAATGAAGATAATATCTTCTTCATAATGTCATAGTTTTATTATTAAAATGTAAGTAGCATTAACAATACCAAATAATGAATACTGTTTGAAAGCCTACTAAGTGTAACACGTTTTCGCCTAACTTTTGACACATTAAAATGTTTCACGTTAGACAGCGGATTGATATCAGTTAGAGAGTCATTGAAAACCAGGGAGTACTGGGCAGCCTTTTCATCCTAGTTTGGGAGTATTCAACAGTACGCGCCAACTGGGTTTCGAACTCAGGACTTTCGAGGTACAAAACAAGCTTGTATATCATTCAGCCACTGGGGCCGTTTCAGTGACCTATGAATTCTAGCTTCCAACAAATTCATGATTTCAGCGCCTCCGCCAACCAACTCCAGCAGCGGGAACTCCATCCTTTCTTCTGACTGGCTTATATTAAAATGTAGAAATATTATTTCTCGAATCTAGCACCCACCCATAAATATCAAGTTTTATAATAAATACAATAAAAATTAAACTGTTTAGGTAACTAAAACGTTTAATTTCTGTCGAACATAATAAAGAGTTTTTCAGTTTAACTGTATTTTTCAAAATATTGAATATGGACTTCTGATTGTTAAGATGAACTAACAAGTGGAACATCATAATTAGTGGTTACTTTTTCACTATTTGGATTAAAGGTGTTTAACGGTAGATGTCTTCGTCCATTTGTTCATCCTAGGTGGAGTAAAATGGCAATTAATATTGAGACTAGACTTATAGTGTTATGCAAGGAGGAAAAGCTAGTCAACGATGTTGTGGTTCTCTAATGACTGAGATGGCAATGGTATGCGCTGGACATACCAGTAATAATGGTTTAAGTAGGTTAAGATTCGAAGAAAGTTAAGAGAGAGCACAATAAACTTATGCGCCGACTGATGAAATGATCGACTACTAGTAGGACTCGCATGGAAAGGTGTTTAATGACTGATACATATCCTCAGGATGCTGAGGACTAGTGTCTGAGATAGCTCTAAATTATGTACAATCCTGAAGATGTCTTCAATTCCTTAGGTCTCTCAGATTCCGAAAATTTTCACTTGTCTTCATTTAACAGTTAATCTGCTCCCACAAAACTTCGTTAACTGTAATTTAGTTACAGTTATCTTGTCTATTTTTACGTATGGTTTTCCTAAATGTGGTAACTCAATGCGGTGCACTGACATATGAAAAGAACTTATACACTGTGCTAGGGTATGCTTCCATTGCGGGTAAAAATTTTTATTTCGATAAAGTGTACAGTGTTATGCAGTAATATTTAATGATGACGTTTCAAGCACAATTTATTGCTCATAATCATATCAAGGTGTATAGCACAGTGAAACTTTATCAGAATTCATGTGGTGCACTTCTGTGCAAAAAATCTACATTACCTATCCAACCATTTAGAGGGATTTTTAGAATTTTTCTCAGCATGATTTTCGTGTTCAATCCACTTACCGGACTATTCATTTGGAAAACAGGATGTATAAAATAATGCTGACCTTATATAAATCGCTGTACATAAATGATGTTCACACACATATATCTTAGAACAGTTAGGTCGTTAAGTTGATTTTGCTCACTTTACTCACGTTTTCAAGGTGATAGACAGTTAATCTTTAAATTTACGGTAGAATTATAAGGCGAATTGGTGTTTTCCTCTATGCGTGCACGGACACTGGAGGAACAAAAATGCATAATTAAGCGAGACAACAAATATTACATTTGAAAGGAAGTTTGGATGTATAAAACATTTCCTTCCAAACAAAGATGGATTAATTGTAAACAACCAGTGTCAAATTGCATAACCCATCGTTTCAAAATAAGTGTCACCAATGTCTTCTCAGTTATTGTGCCGGTGTGAAGTATGTAACCGGTTGTCGTAAAGTCTGTCGTAACTGTTACTAAGCTCTATAACAGGCTAAATGGATGCTAAAAGGATTGAGAGGTGGAGAGAGAAGAATGTTTTAGTTGGTTGGCTGAGTATTAAAATCAGAAACTGGTATATCTTGGCTTCAAACACATGAAGTCATTAGGACTATTAAAAATTTATATTTTAAAACCTGTTTGTCCATTAAGGTTTGAAATTTGGTTGTGGATGTTTCACCACCATAATAACATTTCGAATGTGGAGCTAGATAAAGGTATCCCTCGAACTACAACTCAGTGACTTCATGTGAAACTATTATAACTTTATACAATTTCTGAGTAAATGTGATTTTATTCAAGTTACCACTTTAAACAGCAACACTAATTAGATGAATACATTAGAGAGGTTGAATGAAACTGCAATAAAAATTAATGAGACTTATATACTTGAGTGAGTATTTCCCATCAAACACTTCAGCACTGGATAACATCTCCAGTAAAAAGAAACTTGTGCCATTCTTCATAAAGTGTCATGCTATTGGATCTACTTCTCATACTTTCAGAAGTATTTCTGTACTGCGGAGGCAGCTATATAACAATCCATAGTTTAAAATGACTACTTAGTCGACATCAGTTTGCGATACAAAGTTTTGGAAGTATCAAAGTTCTCAGTAGTTACAGTTTATTTGATTAGGCAACCTGAGGTTATGAGATGATAATGGTAACTAAAAGGGGGACTTGGTTAACACTAGATTTTAAATCAGAAACCACAAGCTAGTTGGTCAGATGTCTTCAGGACAGTGGTATAAAACTTAACTGTCCAATGCACTATTTCTGATGGTAACTTCATTCAACTGTTCTATGGGTACGAGTCACTTAAATATTCTTTCATCATTAAATGTCCTGACCAATAATCAGATCAATTACCTGATTTTCTGATTCAGTATAACGACAAATAGACCACCAGAATACGAGTATGAATATTATGACCTTGTAGACTACGAGCGAATCTAACTCAATGCGCTGGCTAATCTGTCCTAATCGCACATCAACAACAATAACAATAATACCGCCGGGCACGCAAGATAAGAAAGAAAACTGGACGTTGATACTAGAGCTTTTACTGTCTCTACAACAGTCGAAAATGTTAAACCAAACTCCGTATTTATACAGTTAGGAAAATCAATGTAACATTTAAAAAATATTAACAACCAATGGGAATTCAGTAAATTCAATCATGCAGGTGCGAAAAATCAATATTGATGAGTCACCAGTGTATATATCACCTCCCTTTTTTTTAAAAAGAAATTTGCAAACAGTTTAGTATCTTTTTCTCTTGGGGTCGATTTGAAAATGAACTGTTTGTGTTCGTTTACGCTGGGATCATCGACTGGGTGACATCTCTTGTTTTGCTTCTGGTTTGACCGGTGGTATTTTGAAGGTTTCCAGTAGTAAATCCAGTGGCAATTTATGTTCTTGGGATATAGTATATCGACGTCATATCTGATTCTTATGTCTTATACACCATTCCTCTCCAACTTTAACCTTGTACATTAGAGTTCCATGTCGACATTCTATCAAGCCTTCGGCCCATTTCCTGTTCCTCGGTCGATAATCGTGCAGTATATAATGTATATACCAAATAGTTAGTGTGAGTATGACAGAAAAACATCTATATATATCTCATTCACACGATAATCACTAGTAATCACAGTAAATTTTCGGGATTCTCAAAAGCTGAGTCCCCTAAAACAGTAGTTAGTACACTTGACAAATAATCCAGAGGCCACTGATTCAAGATCTGTCACTGTCAAGGATTTCCTTTTCAGGTCCCATCACTTCCTCACTATATGAAGTATAGTTTTAACCAAGGGACTACCATGTAAGCACTTTCATTTTCCTTCACAGGAAAGTGTTATTTTACAGTCGAATTAATTTTTGCATTCGGAATACTACTTTATGAAGCGGAAACCATATCAGTGAAGCTGTCAGTTAAAATTTGTCTTTATATTATGAAACCAAAATACGGATGATAATGGAATTTAATCACTTCAAATATTATTATCATGCAAATTTTAATTCAATGTATATACTACATTTGTTAGTGTCATTTTATTTTTATATACTACTAATTGACTGAAATGAGTAGTCGAATATCACTCACTCAGCAGGTTGAAGGTATCTAAACACCAGAAGGCTGTCTCGCCTTTCTGGGGGCCCATCAGAGGTATACTCAGTGTGATCACCCGGTTTATATGACTTCATCCTGGTTTACCAGAAAGCACTACTGGTTCATATGACTGGGATACAACTACTCACCTCAGTCAATCAGTAGTATACAGCGTCATGTGTTTGTGCCTGCTTTCTTGATTACCATATACGGTACCAAGCACATCTCATGCATTGTGATCTGAATAATTTTGGTTTCTAAAGGAAATTGGGGGGAAATCCCACCTCCTAGAACTATGTAAACTGATAGTCGCAAATTATAATTTCCGAATTGAGAAATTGATTTGATTTCTGTCTGGTAATTTATCCGGTTAATTAGGTTAAAGTTGGTAAAACAAGCGTCTGACACCTGTTTTCTTCCTTTTTAGGCAGTATTCTCCTACAACCAATCTTAGCTGAAGCTGGCAGAGATATATCCCATTGGTTTGATACACAGACAGGTGAAGTACGACATCATGTTGATCCAGTTACTAATTGTTATGTACCATACACACCATTTGGTCGATTTGTAAATATACCACCACCATATCCAACAACCGACTGGGCAACTGATTTTGGGATACCTTGGTGGAAAGATGAACGGTTGATGATTGGATATTTGACAAAGAAAACAAGATTTGTGCGTATTGTTAATACACTTGCACTGCATGAACATGAAATTGAGGTTTGTATTTATGCTTTGTTTCGTAGTTGTAGTCCTTATGTAGTGTAATTAGTATTATTATTATATCCTTTAATTCCTAGAGCAACATAGGGCTTCAGTTGCGCACCTCCATTGCCTTCGATTTTCTGCCAACGCTTTCACTCCGCTCCAAGTCTGCCCACATGCTTTCATCTCCTCTTCACATCACCTCCTCCAAGTCACCCACGCACTGATGGCCAACTCGCCGCTTCCCTTTCGGGTTCCACTCGAGCAATGGCTTGTCTAGTGATGTCACTTGATGGTTTCTTCAGAGTATATCTAATCCAGCTGCATTTCTTTCTGCCTACTTGTTGCACAATCGGTTCCTGGTTGGTTCGCTCATTGCCAGAGATCCGTGTTGCTGATCTTTTCTGGCCGGCCATTTGATCTTGAGTATTGAGCAAAGGCGGCTGTTGATGAAGGTCTGTAGTTTGTTTGAGGTGCTCTTTATGACTCGCCAAGCCTCTGATCCAATCGTATAGTAGCAGTGACTTCATATTGGAGTTGAAAATCCGGATCTTATTTTTGACCTCCACACAGACTTAAGTGTAGTTAGTAGCCTGAATAAATCTATGTCGTGTTTGTTTGAAAATGGTGTGTTTGCACAATACATTCCGAACAATTAGATCACACATCACACTTTTCATTTCAATTTATAAAGAAATGAGGCAACAGAGAGGTTAAATAAAATAAACGAAATTATGAAAATTATTCGGTTGATAGTCACTGGCAGTGGAATCCAGGATGAGCGTTTCGTCCTATTTGGGACTCGTCATGTGCATGTACCTGTAACCTTCAGTGCATAACGGTGCTGCCACTTGGCTTACAACCCAGCACCCATAGTTTCAAACACCAAAGCTCCATCTACTAGGCCACTTGGGGCATGACAATCACCTCTTGTTTAGGGGGTAAAAGTTATGATTTGTATAAGCTAATTTTATATAGCTTGCTGACTCATTTTATCGGGACGAAATCTTTGGCCTCTGTTGACATGTCGGTTTATAATACGAATACTTTGATCATATCTGAGCATTAAAGTGGTGTTCATCGGCGGATGATAAAAGCGACAGATGGTAATCATCGCTCACTAGGGATATTAGGCACACCTATCTGACAAGTCCTGGATTCCACTGCTAGTCACCATCTACCAAATTACTTCAAGTTAATTCTCAGACATCTTTGAATCGTCTGTAGTTGCAGCCTACATGTCGGCAAAAACTTAAAATTACTGACCAGTATGATCAGTCAATGAGAGATACGAAATTAACTTGGACAAAATCATGAGGGAGGGTAATGATTAACACTTCTCTTGCTTATATAGTCACACAAGGCCTACCAAGGCAGGATAAGTGTCATAATAAAGTGCTCTGGCACCAAGAAGTGAGAGAGAGCTATCATTTCAGCATATCTTAGAATGCTCCCATAGTCAATTAAGATACATAACCTGAAAAGCAGTTTTGGCATCAGTCTACTGATTTATATTAGCAGTCCATTTTGCTATAGATGAAACTTGCAGTTTACCATCTGCCTTTATCAAGGTTTCTAAATTCGATTGTTTTTTCAACAGAGGACAAGGGCCAGGCAACCGATTTGGCTAGCAGCCAGCTCTCACCACACTCGTCCCCCCGTCAAAGACTTGCGAGTGAAGCGGGTTCGGTCTTCTTGGCTCTACGGGCTTTGTTTGTTTGTCTTGCGGTCTGGAATCTCGGCCCTCGCTGATGTTCACCTGTTTCACTTTGTTTACCATTGCGATTATGTCTGCGTAGCCCCATGTCAACGTGACCAAATGTCGTTCTTCCCATTTTGGAAACTGTTTGCCTGACCCTGTCGCACACTTGTCGGTATTTCGCCTCACACTTTCATATGTTGCTTTCTTCCGACCTCCCAGCAGCGTTCCAAGTAACAGCTTCTACGCTGACAGATCTTGAACGCCACTCAACTGCGCAGAAGCTTCGAAGTCCTGCCCGAAGATCCATATGTCTCCATCAAAAGGTGCAGGGCATAGGCTTTCCATTTGTCGGTAGACAGCGACACCAAATGTAACAACAGAAGACAAGGGTCAGGCAACCGATTTGGCTAGCAGCTAGCTCTCACTATACTATCTCTTCACTTTATTTGACCTTTCATTTTTAGTTTTTACATAAACTGAATTCACAATTGTGCTGTGTGATCAGATTGTTCGAAATGTATTACTCAAATATATCGCATTTCTTCAGATTAACACCGTCTTTTAATATCGGTGTCCAGCTAATCCTTATGATAAATCAGCATCATGTGGAGTGGTAATAGCAGATAATAAGAGTGCTTCAGATTTGAGTGAATGCTTAAGTACTATTAAACAGTTACAGAGGTATCAATTTCGATAGACAAAATAGTAAGTAATCCGCAATTCAGAGTTCACAATTAAAGGATAAATTGCACTAGAAATTTCATTGTTTTTCAATCATTCTTAAGCTGGTAAAGATTATATACATACGAAGCGAATCACCAGAATCAGCCACTTTATCATTCATTTCTGTAATGCATAGTTTGCAACAGCATATTCGGTCTTCGAGAAAGAAAACAAAAAGATGGTTGCTGAGGAAACGGAATTTTCCCTGGCTTCGTGTAATAAGCATATTTGATCTTCTAGTTATTACACCGATAAAGGATTACCTTGAGGCTGCTCCATTGCTCTGAAATGACAATAATATTACGATAGTCACTAAGACACTGAAAATAGTCTGCTGTATATTTATATATTGTTAGATGGTTGTAGGTGATCTGCAGGAAGCTATGGACATAGATTTCCTGCTTGTTGTCACTCGTCAACAAGGCGTAGCTGCAATCTTGAAGAAAGTCATACCTCCAATTATATAACCACAACTCAGGGTGGACAGTGATGATGAGCCACCTAGCACGGCGGCTACATTGCAAGCTTGACTGATAGAATTCAGTTTGCACCAAAACAAGGACTAGAAGCATAACACTGGTTACTAACTTCTGTCCTATACATAGATATATATGGCTTTGAAGTAGTTGTATTTTCTGAGCTGGTCGATTTAATTAGGAAGCTTTCATAGTCCTTCTAGACAGCATCTTTCGTGCAGGTTTTAGTATCTAAGGCTTTGTTTAAATTCCATCAGGTTACCGTGGTTAACCAATTGACATTACTGCCTGGTGATGATGGTAAACTTGTTGTAAATACGACATTGACTCTCAAATTATTCATATGATATCAGACTCTTTTAGAAATGACGTCTTACGACAGTGAAAAAGTAGCAGTTCGTTTTGTTTGTAAATACAAACAATATTTCTGGATAATTAAATTCTTTGGAAAAGCCTAACCATTTCGCGGAAAAAACATATCTGTCACTATGGTTACGCTTACTCATCTTTTCAGAATTACTTAGCTGGTTGTTTGACTCCGTCCGTTTTTCGACATAGAACTTTGCACAGATGTGCGGCAGTTCAAGTTGCCACACTCCCTCCTTCTAGCACACAAAGCAAGAGAAGAAAGTAGAAGAAATTCATACTAGAGACAGTAAACAGAGGTGTGAGACAAAGGAAGAGTAATAACGAAGAACAAAACAGTTTCATTGCAAATCATAAGTCACAAGGAGTGGATGCATCTGAGCCACTGAGAACGATTTTGAGCCATGTCACTAATTGTTTCCGACCATTGATTTTTACCGTCCCGAGGAATAAAATAAATAAAGTTTCAGACTGAATTTATGCATATTTATAGACTGAATAGAATGGAATGTCCAAAGTATGCCTGTTTTTATATCAGTTAACAATGATGATTAATTTGTTCGATAACTATCCCACTCTGAACAGCATAAATTTTATTCATTTTATCACATGAATGTGTCTAACGCTTAGAAACATCCAGTAGGAATAACTATGAAATATTTCAGTGTAGAAATTTACTCAAATAATTACATGGATGCCGTCCTTGGTGGACTAATAAATAAAGGAAAAAGAAATACCTATTTAGATATTTAGAAAGCAAAAGGATTGAAAGGAGAAATATTCACTTTGCAATTAGATCCTCATCTCTAGCTCTACTCTAATGTATATCCATAGCATCTTTGATACGACACACAACATTTTACCAATCATCAAGTGGCGACATGTTTGTTAACAATAATTAGTTAATATCAACATATCGAACGGAGGTGATTATTAACAAAGAAAATTAATATACACTATTTTTTTTATTGCTTCACGTTCCCAGCGGAACATAGGACTTCAAGCTGGAGACTTGAAGTTTCTGTAGCAGCGTTTATTTTCACAGGATGTGGTTGCTAGCCTTATGCCCAACTTTTCCTCTTTACCAGTTTCATTTCTGGCTTAGCGAAGTTTGGGAGTGCGACGGTCGGGGATCGGACTCTGGACCCTAAGCGTGGCTGGTGAGTGTCCCAACCATTGTGCCACCGACGCAGAATACACACAATTAAAGGGTAGAAATGATTACAACAACAAGTGGTTTGTATAATGCATAATTCTGGAAAAATGAATAGTACTTAAGGAATAAGCGAGTGTTCAAGTTGAATACGTAACAGATTGTTAAAGAAAAATAAAACAATTTCGATAACGGTAACTTGTAATCAAAGATGAAGTAGTCAGAAATATAATAAAATAATTTAGACAGTTATAATTTTTAAAGGTTCAGGGACAAAGTAGTCCGGTTCATGCAATCATGTAACGATTGCCAAGGTAAAGAAAGTGGCTGCACGAATTACTTCTGAACACTCAGGTTTGGCTTTTTCAAGTGGATTCCTATGGCTTCAGCTGTATGATGAAGACGACATCGTAAAGCAAAATTAAGAATAGTAGCTGTAGGGACAAACAAGATCTATTCATAGCTCTGTTTTAGCACACTTTATAGACAGTGAGTATAAAATATCTTAATACAGCACTTAAAGTTATTTTTCACACTCTTACTTATCTGTACTAATTTTATTCGTTAATAATCACCTCCGTTCGACTTGTTGATA